TTTTTTTTTTTTTTTGATGATTCAGAGAATAATCAAGGATTCTGCAATACCATAGACCACTTTAGGGTACTCATTATCATTCAGAACTATAAATTTTCACAAGACATCACCAACAAAGTACTTTTTAAAAGACAAATCTTCAGTGATTTTGTCTAGGATATTTGTTTCTCATTCATAAATCTATAAATTTGGCAGCAGGTTTGGCAGTTTTGAGCTTTGTTTGCTCCCTGGTGAGTGGGAATGTAAAATCTGCAGGTTCTCTATAGATTTGAACTCACTAGTACTGGAATTTCTTAGTATGTTCTGTCTATCTTGGGATCCATTGATTAAAATGTCAGTTTCCATTTGTCTTAGGAACGACATCAACTGCAACTCCAGCTCCTGGAGCATGAAACAGAAATGTCAGGGGAAATCTCTTATTCTGACCAGGAAAGGTAAGATGCAATGTCTGCTGTCTTGTGAGGTATTTAGACCTCACAAAAAAAAAAAAAAAGCCACCTGTGGTTTTGTGGGCTCACTTGCATTGCATTCACTTGGTTATCATATATGGCAGACTGATACATACAAAACATTGAACTAAGAACTTCCAGTGTGGAACCAGTTTCTTCAGGGACTTACTGGCACAGCTTATAGTCCATGGCTGGTTATTAGTGCCACAGCACACCTCAAAGACGCTCAAAAGTGCAAAAGTTCATTCTATAAATGTTCTCTGTAAATTGGAACTTCACAGGATGCACCTTGTTGATGAGAAAATTCATCAACTGTGACTAATACTGTTGCTGTGGGAACCAAAGATAGCCTTCTTTGGTTCCAAACTCTGCTCAGTCAAACTTTGTCTTACCCTCTGGCTGTGAGCTTAGAAAACCCTGTGCGGAAAATGTAGTAGGACGGGGACTCTTCTATAAATCAAGAAGACCATGCAGGGGCTCTTTTGTGATGGAAAATTGGTTAGGATGCTTTTGGAATTTTTTTTTTTATAACAGTTTATTTTTACATCATTTTGTACATTTTTTTTCCAATCTCAATTGTAATCCTTGTGGGTTTCCCATCACCAAGTCACCCGTG